TCATCTGTAGGTTCGACATACCTCACTCCATCGTCACGAACTATGGAAAACAGTTCGACAATGCCCATCTTTTAGACTTTTGTGAAGACTTCGGCATCAAGAAACATTTCTCAACACCGAACCACCCGCAGCAAATGGCCAAGTTGACGCTATTAACAAAATCATTGGCCACACATTGAAAGCAAAACTTGATGTATTTAAAGGGGGATGTGCCGAAGAACTCCCTAGTATGCTTTGGTCATATCACACCACTACGAGGACTAGCACGGGAGAAATCCCGTTCTTACTGGCTTTCGGTGTAGAGGTTGTAATCCCACTAGAGGTTGACATTCCCTCGTTTCGCATAACTGCTTATGACGAAGAAGAGAATCATATGGCTCTTCACGCAGAACTCGACCTTATTGAAGAAAAAAGAAACAACGCTAAACTCAAAAACGCCGTTTACAAACAACGGAATGCCAATTACTACAATTAGAAAGTATGAAAAAGAGAATTTGAAGTAGGATCCCTAGTCTTACGGAAGGTATTCCTCACTACGAGGGAGGCTGGCAGCTGATGCCTGGGACCAAACTGGGAGGGTCCCTATCTGGTAACAAGATCCTACCAAAAGGAGCGTGTGAACTGGAAGACTTGGGGGTAGACCTTTACCCCACCCTTGGACCGTCGAGTACCTTAGGCAGTATTATCAGTGAACATGGAGAATCTACGACATGTAAACCCGCCTGTAATGTCAATCATATCAATAAAAGGGACTCCTTATCTTGAGCATTTTATTCGGCATTTGGTCAAAATTCTCAAAAGTCCTGCCACATGTGCAGGTCGAGCAAAGGTCGTAAGTGCTATGACACTTAGTGAAATTTTCTCCTTAAGAATTCTCAAAAGTCCTGCCACATGTGCAAGTCGAGCTAAGGTTGTAAGTGCTACGACACTTAGACGAAACTACCATTGACAAATATACTGAAGACACCGCTATACAAGCAGGTCGATCTAAAAGCATAAGTACTGTAGCCCTTCTAAAATTACGAAGTAAGGTTAAGAATATTGCAAAAATAAGGTACATCCAAAGTACTAAGTCAAAATGCAGTCATTACAAAACATCAGTAAAACAAGATTTTTAGTTCATTACATTAAAAGAGAAGGAGGGAGCATTCAAAGAAAACCTAAGAAATGGGGGCCTGGCTAGAAGGAGGAGGGCCCTCACGAGCAGCAGCAGCATCTTCAACAGCAAGGGAAATCCGAACTCCTGCCTCTTCAGTCAATCTTTGGATTTCTTTCTTCTGCTCCTCCACTGCCTCCTCGAGGAACGCCACATCAAACCTAGGTCTTTCGCTGTAGATGTGTTTGACGACCTCCTCCAAAGCCACAACATAGGCGTCTTGCACCAAGGAGTCGAATTCAGAGGACGACCCCCAAAGTTCTACCGCCCTGATAGACTTGGCCTCAGCGTCTTCTACCCTTTTAATCGCCATACTCACCCTTTCGTTCACCTCTCGTACCTTTCTCACCGCCTCCTCAGCAAGGGCTCACTCATATTCAAACTTCTTGTTCTCCACTTCAGCCCTTTGACTAGCCTCCTTCGCTTGGGCCCTCAGTACTCTGATCTCCTCCCTCAACCTCTCTTCTAGGTTGAGCTTGAAGTTCAGTTCGGCTCCCATCTTGTCCAGCCTGTCTTCATAGTCTCTTTCCTTCACTGTAAACTACGCCATCTCCCTCTCCATGCCTTGATATAAGCCCAGTGCTTGATCCTTGGCCTCCATTAACTTGTCAAGCTCAGCTTCAGCTGTTCTAAAGCCAGAAGAATCAGTGAGAGATATTATAGAAACTGATGCTCTTCCAAAGTATGCCGGCTTAAAGAAAATACCTTGTCAGTCACTGCTATCATATACAACACAGATCGATGGCTATGAAGCTGAGCAGTAACAATTGCCTCCCCAAGTGGCATCTCGTTCAAAAAACTCTGCTGCCTATCATTCCAACTCCTGGTCAGGAGATTGGCAGAGTCACACAGTGGAGGGGCAAGGGCAGCCGTTGTTTCCCTAGAAGGGGATGGAGCCCAGAGAAAGTCTAGTAGTATCTCAGGCTGGTGGCCCACCAAGCCATCCTCGGCCTTTGCAAATTAGGGCACCTCTCCTGAGGTCGACTAGAGCTACTTGTAGCAGCGGGAGGAACAAAAACACGCATCACTGGAGTTGGTGATGGCAGGGAAGAGAATACTAAAGTTGGACTGGGCGGATCCGTAGAGATCAGCTCAAGGACCCAGGTCGCAACCGGCGTAGAAGTTCGGTTTCTCTTCAAATGAGGGACCTCCTCTTCGGTCTCCTAAGATCGATTCTCGAGCCCATCTAAAACCTCGGTTCGCTTTCCTTTAGCCGTCCTACTGCTTTAGCTGCTTTAAATCCCAACATTTCTTGGTGAAAAACTAAAAATACGTGCATAAAATATTCAGTATTTTCATATAATTTCAGTAAGGGAATAAAGCATTTTAATTCTTACTAGGGCTAGCTTGAGCTGATACAGAAGGCTGTGCTGAAGTCTGACTTCAGGAGACGGTCTGAATCAAACCCACCCTGAATAAGTTTAAATCAGAGATCACGTGTTTACAAGACCTTTGTCTTTTTGGAAGGGCCCTTATAGCCTCAGCTCGTCTCTGAGTATCTTTGGTTAAGGCCGCCTTCTTGTAATCTGCAAAACAAAACAAATGCAATCAATAAATTCTTCAATATTAACTCTGACTTAAGTATCAAGGAGCGTTGCTTATAAAAAGAATGGTAGAGTTTGGGAACAATATCTTCCCTATTCACCTCGGCAGGGTGGAACTCCCAGTCTCTTGAAACATAGAAAAATTCCTCTTTCCATATCTTAATCGAAGAATGAGTGTCTAGTCCTAGGGAACCACCAGTCCTAGGTCTAACACTGGTGTACCACCAGCCAGAATTCCTACCGTCTTCTTTAAAGGTAAACAAATAATTGAACTGTTCGACACCGAGCTCAGAATTTCCTAAATGGCTCCATAAAATCAGGGTGGCAATCAGAGTTCGCCACCCACTGGAGCATAGCTATGTTAGAGCTATACCCCAGTAGGAAAGAAATTTACGTATGACCCTAGGAATGGGGAGCCTAAGGCCAATTTGTAAAATGGAAGAGTTTAAGGCCATACATCCTACGAGTGGTTTATCAGCCCGGTCAAAAGGTTCGGGGATTATCATTATGATTGATCTGGGAATGCCATACTTGCCTCTCTAGCTCGCCTATCTCCCGTTACGACAGACCTATAAGAATTGGCCCCCCACTCCTCTTGGCCATTTCCCTCACTGCCTTCATGAGATTCTACCTCGTCACCGCCCAAATCCTACCTAATCCGCCCCATCTCCCTAGGTCAAGCTACAGTAACTGGGTTAACAACCGAAATGGGAATAGGGGTGAAGATCTCTCTACAACTAGAAGACGAGCTGGAGTTGGAAGGGACTGATTCTTCCTACTGGTTTCCCCAGGAATGAACCCTAGATTCGTCCGAACTCATATACAAATCGAGATGAAAATGTGTATTGAAAGGATGAAGAAAAGATGCAGAAGAACACCTGGGAACTGAAGAAAAAATGACCTCACTTAAAAATAAAGATGGATGGACTAAAAGATTTTTCTTGCTATCTTGGAGAGGAAAAATCACATAAAGGAGGGTAAAATAGAAGCTCAAAAGGAATGTAAAATGATGGAAGATCAAAAGGCTCAATCCAAACCGTCAGTCCAAAAGATGGAGGGAAAATTTGATGGACAAGATATAATCAGCCTGAAATAATTACACTTCCTGGGAAAACACCAACCGAGTTAAAAGGCCAGTCCCTCCTTACAGCAGAACTGACCTAGGAGGTAACTGTTGACCACCGAACTTCGATCTCATGAGAAACCGTCCCAGGCCCCACCTCAAGCAGATGTGAGTTTGGCTAAGACCCCAGATCGGATTTGCCACCGTAATCTCAGGAGATATCATGATTACCCCTTGTCACATCAACCTCTCAAATCAACCCATTCGTCAAGAGTGACGTCACCGCCGCCCATGGCAACCAATCCCTAGCTCGGAATCTTCAAGTTGCCTGAGGGTCATCATTACCTGAGGAAACCATTGACACATGGCCACCGGCCTCGTCAACCAATCATAGGAGAATTCGACGACCCAAGTTCCGAGTTCGATACTGTAGCTGATTTGATGTAATTTCGACTGAAAACATGTATAAATAGTAAAGAAATTGTTATCCCAAAGATAAGGGAATTCATATGCAAAACCATTGCACGATTACATTTTCTCAATTGATTTATGAGCCATTTAGCAATAACTCGCCCTTTTTCTTAAAGTTGGCTCAAGATCATTCTTACAAATTTTGACGTCAACAAACATGAACCAAATATAGGGTGAACAAAGAGATATTATTTGTTGGGAAATAGGCACAGTGATCTATTTCATGCATCTCTTCTAAACGTGTGCAAACCATGCAAACTAAGAAACGTCATTTGAATCTTTTCAAAAAGACTTGAATATAAAGAGAAATGGTGAGAAAATAGGCCCTGTTTGGTAGGGATTTTTTGCCCCAAAAAATTGATTTTTTGATCGTTATTTTACTATTTAAGCCGTAATTTTTGACTTTTTCTCTCACACGTGGACCCCACTTTTCTTCTAACGGTCAAAAAATCAATTCTTAAAATCTCTACCAAACGGGCCCATATTTCTCCTCAAAGTCGTCTAACTCATTTTACGAGTGAATAAAAAATTCTGGAATCTAACTTGTGAATATTTAGGCCCGTATATAATGATAGAAAAAATTGAAAGAGTCACGTAAAGTTTACATCAACTAAATTAACTCGTATTATTTGAATTAAGAATTATTTTGAACATCGAAAGTGAAGTGAAAATGTAAAAAATTATATTTTAATAATGATAGAATTTATTTGGATCCAATCAAAAAAATAAAAACGTGAAAATAATTTTTGTCCAATCAAAAATTATTATATGCTCACTCGTCTATCTCGCACACACCTGAGATCCAAAGTCCACATCCCGGGTTTCACCGACACGAAATCCTCTGCACTGGCACCAATCCGCTGTCGCCAAAAAGGGCAAATCTAAGGCTTAGCCGGTGAACAAAATCTACATACGGCAACCTACTGAATAACATATTTAGTACCCGAAAGGTACATTTTCTCTTTCAATCGATAATTTAATTGGACAGTCGCACTTCTATTTTTGTGTTGATATTAGGGTTCGATTTGATTTAGAGTAACTTTTACTTCTATTTGATTCTGTTGTCTTCATGAGATTTCGAAGTTTTAAAAGTAGAAGTGAAATATTCTTCAATGTTCTGGAGTTAAATGCGTTATAGTTGATAAATGGACTTGGATTGCTGAATTGGTAACTTTATTTTTAATGCTATGGCGTTTTGAAAGTATTTAATAAAAATCTGAGCTAGCAATTATTTGGGTTTTAGTCTTTGCTTTCTTTAATGTTGCAATTTATTGCCTATTTCGAACTATTAAAACTGGGAATGACATGTTTTTGGATGTTTTGGAGTTAATTTTGGTCGATACATGTACTTGAAATTACTGAATTGGTAAATTTGTTTTCAATGTTGTGATATTTGAGAAGTACGTAACAAAAATCGGAGCTAATGTGCTAAATGTTCAGATTAGATGTCAAATGATGTGGAAAATCCTAAAGATGGGAATGCTACTAAGGTATTGGAATGTCCATCCATTTCCTCCGAGCCCCAATCTACGTGGTATAGTAGCTTGCTCCAGCACGTCTCAATCTATGGCATAGCTGCGGGTTATTGCATTTCAGCTTCATTGCTTTCGATCATAAACAAATGGGCTGTCATGAGATTTCCATACCCAGGAGCTCTAACAGCGTTACAGTACTTAACGAGTGCTGCCGGAGTGCTAATTTGTGGGTGGCTTAAGATAATAGAACATGATAAGCTTGATCTTGTTACAATGTGGCGGTTCCTGCCTGCTGCAATTATATTCTATATGTCGCTATTTACAAACAGCGAGCTCCTCCTCCACGCCAATGTTGATACGTTCATTGTATTCCGTTCAGTGGTCCCTATATTTGTTGCAATAGGAGAGACCCTATATTTGCACCAGCCTTGGCCAGCATTGAAGACATGGTTGTCGCTTGGTACTATATTTGCTGGTAGTGTGCTTTATGTCATAACAGATTATCAGTTCACTCTCATGGCTTATAGTTGGGCTTTGGCTTACTTGGTGAGCATGTCCATAGATTTTGTTTACATAAAGCATGTAGTTATGACTGTTGGTTTAAATACATGGGGTCTTGTGCTTTACAATAATCTTGAGGCTTTGCTATTGTTTCCTCTGGAGTTTCTTATAATGGGAGAGTTGAAGAAGATAAAGCATGATATCTCAGATGAATCGGATTGGCATTCCTTCCAGGTTGTCTTGCCAGTGGGGCTGTCATGCTTGTTTGGTTTAGCTATATCTTTCTTCGGATTCTCTTGCCGTAGAGCAATTTCAGCTACGGGATTCACTGTTCTTGGAATAGTGAACAAGCTTCTGACAGTTGTGATAAATCTAGTAATTTGGGACAAACACTCAACTTTTGTGGGAACAGTTGGACTCTTAATTTGCATGAGTGGTGGTATCATGTATCAGCAATCTACAAGCAGCAGACCTAAGCCGGCAAAAGAAGTAAATGCTCAAGATGATGAAGAAGAACAGCAGAATCTACTTGAAATGCAAACCGTTACAGAGAGCAGTACCAATGAGAAGCCAGTTACAGAATCACGAGAAGGAAATAAAGAATTATTTTCATAAGGAATTCATAGTACATCATTTCTTTCTTCTTGAAAATATTCATTTGGAAGCTCTAATGCAAGTGAAGTGGGTGCAGCAGGTTGCAAGATTCACCTACAGCCTGTCGTTGACTTGTTTAAGCAGGAAAATTTCCCAGTTCAGTTAGATGCACAATCTCCCAATTCTTTGCTACTAGTATAACTATTTTCCAAATCTGCCTGATGATTCAAGGAAATTAATTTCCATGCAGCATTGTATGTTTTGATAATCTTTTCTTAATATTTGAAGAATGTACTACTTCACAGAATACTGCAAGTGATTTAACCTATTAGTGGCTACAATGAATTGGATATAGCTTAAATTGAATTAAACTATTAAATATCTTGAGAAAATTCTCTCCTACTCGCATCAGACGCCTTTCCTTTTAATGTGCCATTAGGATTTTATAAATGTACATAATTTCATTTCCACATTTTGGCGTACTACTCTATGTGCACTCTTAGAGGATCCTCTTCTTGTTTATTGTTCTTTGCAACTTTATTGCTAATGCGATGTGGTAGTGTGTCCAAACTGGATTGTGAAACCTTTTTTGTCAGGTTAGTTTGATGTCAGGTTGGCCTATGGTTTATATTTAAAATTTGCATCATATTTATACCTCTGAATATCATACCATGCTATAGTTGAAGGTATTAGTGTGTCAAAATTAATGCATTGTTCAAAATCCTTACCCGAAAAATGCCATGTGTTATTTTTTAATGTAGGATCATTGAAGAAGGTTTTATTGTTGGAACATTGATTCAGTGTATTTTTTTAGGTTGGGCACAATAAAGAGACAAGCATAAAAATACAGATCTTTAATGTAGAAAGTGTTCTTTATACAGTTCGGTGGAATTGAGTTTCCAAAACTCCATGCCCTAATCAGAATCCTACATAGTATGATTCAATGATCCATCCATTCTGATAGACTCCTATCAATGTGGAAGGACCTAGAAGAATTGAGAAGCTTATTTAGTTAAAATAGATTCACGTAGGGGCAGGGGTATTTTGGAGAATAATGGTGTGATAAGTTGCCTATAAATGTAATGGGGAGGGATTGGGGATATTCATGCTGAGAATTAGTTGTTGAGTTAGGGGGAGAGATCTAAGTCTCTCGAATGCTTAGAATTGTTCTTCAATTTCTGTAATCGTCTGTCTTTTTAATCAAAAAGTCACTCATTCAATATTTGAACTTGTTCTTTCAAGCGATATCCTATCACATTCAGTGGGTCTCAAAATCAGAAGCTATTTCCTTCTAATTTTGCGTGGCTTCCCAGAACCCAATATCCTAGGTTGAATCCTATGTAGCATGATCCCTTGATTTGGTTCTTGTTAATGTTATTTCTTGCCCGATTTAACACAGTGGTTCTCCAAAACCCTAAGTTGTATGTTGAACCCTACATAATCTGGCTTCACTTGTTATATGTCTAATTTTACGTGGCTATCCGAACCTCATGTCCTAGGTTGAATCCTATGCAATGTGAATCCATGATTTGGTTCTTGTTATCGTTGGAATTAACAGGTATATTGCGATTAAAATGTGTATTGAAATAAGTCTTTGATAGGTGCGAAGATTGGTTGCGATTCTTTAAGTGCAATTGATGCATAATTGAAAGGTCTTGATCTTTTAATCGGGTGCAATTTGTACAACTAAATCATGACCCAATCTGAAAAACGACACGAATGGGAAACATGGTCACCTCCTTGAATTTTTAGAATTTGCCTCAAATCTTTTTATTTTTTTCAATTTAAAATGTATTTTTACTAATAAATAAACGGAAATGTAAACGGGGATTGTTTTTATCTCCATCTAGCTTCCTGATGAGAACAATAATGTCCGCTTGAAATTCTCAAGATTTTCCATGCACTTGCAACATCATTTGCTTTTTTCAAGATTTTTCTACCCGAATTTTAGATTCTTGGTCTTACCAAATACGACCATGCTATGTTACCAAAAAATGGTTGACACTCAAAATGGGGGCTCACTTTTTTTGTAATTTTTTATTCACGTGGAATCCACGTTCATGTGAAAGAATATCAACCAAGGTAGTAATTTTTTTTTAGCAAAACCAGCATAATTCTACCAAATAGCGTTACCAATTGTCAAATAGTACCAATGCTTTGAAAATCGACTGAAGAGGCCGATTCCATTGGGAAGTGAAGTTGGCCGATCAAATCGTAAAAAAAATGAAAAATAAAAATCTTTTAAAACATGCTAAGAATCAAAAGGTTCATTTTAAATTTTTGTTTTCAATTTTTTAAATATCTTTTTATCATATATTTGATCTCAAAACCAAATTCAACCATTTGGTTCTTCATCTTTTTCCATGTTCTTGTTGCCAAGGATAGCATAGCAAAGAGATTTTGGCCTGGAAATTTCCGTGATAGCATCATGACCACTTTAAACTACATGTCAAAATAAACCCAAGATTGGAACCATGTGCCTGTTGAGTTTGGGCTATTGGTTACTTCGATGACCAATTATACTACACTTCGTACACCTAATCAAAAATAAATGTGTTTAAAAACTCAATAGATTGGCGTCCCCTCCACACACTGATCAAAAGAGTATATCATTATATTGAAGGCGCCTTAACCCAAAGTGGTCATTGAACACCATCCGAATCCAACGATCAACAACATTGATACGACAACGGAGGTCGGGGACTAGTCATTAGGCTCCCATGGAGGAGCTAATTCAACCCTCTCCAACCAAATTATAATTCGTGAAAGTACATATTGATTGGCAAGACCAATGTGGTGTCAGCTCAATTACTCCTATATAAATGGATCATTTATATATTTGGGAGTAAGCAATTCAACTCCACTCCACTTTGGCTAACTATACAATTCTATATTTTTTTGTCCAAATTCTCTAAAAAAAAAATCCTATGAATTCACAAAAGTTAATAAAAAAATGCAATGTCATTTTTTGCCGGAAAATGCTACATATACAATCGGAGTTGACAATCTCGATTGACAATCACACATATTAAAGGGGCTCACAATGAATAAAAAAAATCCTGAACCCCCTGCTGTAAGGACATTGTCAATCAGGGTTGTCAATCTCGATTATACAACTAGAAAAATTCAGTCAACATAAGATATTGAATAGTATAATCATAGCTCATTGATGAAGAGACCAATATGGTAATATGAAATTGCTCTAATTTAGGGTGTGTTTGAGCACTTTTAATTTTGAAAAATGTATTACGAAATGATAGATTGATGGAGAATGTCTGGTTAAAAAAGAAGAAAAAATTTTAGTTGGTATATAATATTATTTTAATAAAGAATGCGCGGTTAAAAATGAGTACTGTAAAAAAAATTATGTGATAGAATGTAAAATAATAGTCGACAAATAGAGGCTTGACGATTTTGAAAATTTCATTCCTTCGTTTTTTAAATGATAAATTCAAATTAAAAAATAGTCAGGAATTAGAATTGGAAACGAGGTCTAAATATACAAGAAAACCAAATCCCATTACCTGAAGGAAAACTGGAAAAACCAACCCTAAATCCCTGATAATATGAACTTTTATGCTTCTCTCTGAGGCATTAGTAGACCTAACGCAATTGATCCACCTTCATAAATTTTAGGGTTTCTCATTTCAATTTTATGTAAATTTATTCCAATATATATTCTTGTTACAAGTTTTACCTCTTTAATTTATCAAGAATGGATGCGCAGAGGGCTTTGCTTGATGAACTCATGGGCGCAGGTAAATTGCTCCAGTATCTATCTCAATACTGGGCTTTCCTTCGGCTAAAGTTCGCACTTTTTTTCTTAATTTTGAGCAATAAATTTTATCTCGGCATACTTTCAAAAACCCTGAAGCTGAGTTCTGGTCGGATCAACTAAAGCTTAAGAATCCTGGAATTGCTTAAGTGAATCTGAACTAGGAATTGAAAATTTTCCGATTAAAAACTCGTAATTTTAAATTAGGCAAACTCGGTCTTAATTACATGGTTCATCTGAATATTTTGTTTTGTTTTAAGCACAACACATTTGGTTTCGGAAAGAAAACCGGTTACTTTCTTCCCCTGATTTTTCTTTTTATTTTTTCCATCACGTTTTTTAGTTGGGTGCATTTACCATTAATATTTTATGTTTTTGTTCATTATGTAGCACGAAATTTGACTGAAGAAGAGAAAAAAGGATACCGGGAAATCAGATGGGACGATAAGGAAGTTTGCAGATTTTATATGGTTCGGTTCTGCCCCCATGATTTGTTCGTCAACACTCGGAGTGATCTAGGTGATGTTTTGATTCATTTTATTATCTTTACGAACTATTTTAAGGAAAAATGTTGAATCACGCTATAATGTTTATAAAGCCTGGGTGACAAAATGTTTAAGAAGGCTTAATTAGGTGTGAGGGATTTTACCTTGGGGAAGGGGAGACTAGACATGACAATAAAATAATTCAAAACAATATAAAAATACAAAATATGCTCATAATTTTTTAAAAATCCATGACAAAACTAATTAAGAAAGTAAAGTTCTTTGCAACCAAATTGAATTTTATTACTAGAAGTCGAGACAACTCTTCTTATGTTATCACTACTCATGATCTTCAAGGGATCATTAACATTACCATCCTTGTCAGTATAAGTTTTTTTTCATTCTTCGTCATCATCCTCTACTTGAAATGATGTCTCTCTTTCTCCTTTTCCTTCTATGTAGTTATGAAAAAAGAAATAAAAGAATCCCTTAGACATTTTAGGTTATAAAAAATAGCCCAAAAAAGTTAAGTCCAGTAATTAGATGTCCAGAAAATGTAAGAGAAAGGGGCAAACACCTTCGTCACCTTGAATCGTAAGTCTCACAAATGGCACTTTAGGTGGGGTTTTGAGGTGTTTTATGAAAGCCTCACGTGAGGCAGGATTCATGATGTAACTTCAAGTAGCTTTTTTAAACAGAAGTAAAGCATCAGACATAATCAAGGTAGTTAGTTGACCCTTGAAGCTTGAGTGCAATACATTAAAAGTGAGAATTTTGAACAAGTAAATCTTTTTTGTTTTGTTTTTCCAATGAAGCCAATGCTTTTCATTCTTAATTTAACTTTCATTCACCTAACTCGGTTTCTCTGTGTGTTTTTCTACATCAGGGGCGTGCCCAAAAGTTCATGATCTGAAGTTGAAGGAGAGGTATTATAGTTAATTTGAAGCCCTATTATTTGAAGTATAATGACAAATCATATGCCATTTTCCCCCATGTATTAACTTTTACACTAGTGTGCATATACATTTTAATAGTAATGTGGTAAATATACCCCCTCTTCAAACAATCTGTGTTACCGATTCAATTATTTGATGGATATTTGGACGCTGAGTAACATTATTGCGGCCCCTTAAACTGGAATTATATTTCCTCTCCTTTTAGTATTTATATGCATTGAGTGTCATTTATATGACACCTTGTTTCACACTAGTGATCTGAGTTTGTTGGTCTCTCTTTAGTTTTGAGAAGTCCCCCAGACATGATTCACATGTTCCTAAGTTTGAAGCGGAACTGGCTCACTACTGCGAGAAGCTGGTAAGTTTTTGTCTCAAAAATTTTGAATTTCGAAGGTTTTGATTGGTGTTGAACTTTATTTTTAGTGTTTGGTTACACTTGATGGTTATTTCAGGTTGCAGATTTAGATAGAAAAGTTAGGCGAGGCCGGGAACGTCTTGCTCAAGAAGTTGAAATTCCCTCTCCCCCTCTGATCTCCGCTGAAAAATCTGAGCAGCTTTCTGTGCTTGAAGATAAGATAAAAAATCTACTGGAACAAGTCGAGTCTCTCGGTGAAGCGGGGAAGGTTGATGAAGCTGAGGCACTCATGAGGAAGGTGCTGCACCTGCCTATATGTCTACTATTTGATTCCACAAACTGCGAAACTGTTATTTGACAAATTGCAACATCATGGTTTTAATGGCTTCTTTCAGGTGGAAATGCTTAATGCCGAGAAGACAGCCTTGACTCAGCAACCACAGCAGGATAAAGTGTTGATGATGGCCCAAGAGAAAAAAATGGCTTTATGTGAAGTTTGCGGCTCCTTCCTAATAGAAAATGATGCTGCTGAGAGAACTCAGTCTCATGTTACTGGCAAGCAGCACATGGGTTATGGCACGATCAGGGACTTTCTCGCAGAATACAAGGTACATTGTGTTACACAAGAAGCAAAATTTGCCGATCTATATACTCGGAAAGAATAAATCATTATGTAAATGTTGCATCAGTATATATGCCAATCTGTACACTTGGAAAGAATAAATCATTACGTAAATGTTCCATTAGGATCATGATTAGTTATAATGACTATTCATTGCACGACTCATGAATTGAATACATTTACCAGGCAGCTAAGGAGAAAGCAATTGAAGAAGAAAGATTGGCAAGGGAGAGAGAAGCTGAAGAACAAAGGAAGCTAAGGGAAAGAGAATATGGAAACAGACGTAGAAGTATTGAGTCAGTAGATAGGGACAGGTATCGTGATCGAGATCATGACAGGGAGAGGGAGCAATATCCAGAACGAAATCGTGATCGTGAAAGGTCTCGTGATAGGAGTAGCAGAGAAAGGCTGGAAGACGGAAGAAGATCAGATTGGAAGTACAACAGTTCGAGGAACAGAAGAGAAGGAAGGAGGGATAGATACTAAGAATTTGACAGAAGGTCAGTTTCTCTTGTCGGCTGCAGTAAAAGATGGTCATCCAGGAACCCCTTTGCCCATATTAGAGGATTATGTAGATAAATGTCTGAACTCTGAATTCTAAAGAGGTAGATGTTTTTCTAACTATCCGAGTTTCATCTATGTATGCTTTGGAGTCTTGAGTTCTGTCTTCGTTAAGATTAAAATTGTTTTTGTTCTCACAGCTCTATTGGGATACCATCTCCTATCATCAATATAATTTAAGAAGAAAAGGTTGAGGTAGGTATAACTTCATTGTTGTGACTATCTATTTAAGTATCACAATTGGTATATTTTACTCGAACCTGTAATTTTTTTATCATTTTCTATTTGGGATCAACTTGTCTTAAGTAGTAGTAAGAAACTGATTTGGTACATGTGCATGCGTAATATTGTGGCTGATTGAGAACGGAGGTTTTTACCAACTGTGAGGTAACAAATGCGTTTATTGTCACGTGTAGACTATCTTCCCTCACCATTACCTGTTTGGTTTTCTTTATTTTTGGCTTATTTTAGATGCTCGCGTGCAAAATGGGATTCTTTCCTCTTAGGTAAATCGGATTAAGCAGTGAGAATACTTTATCGGGATTGTCACTTTTTTGGCAAGGTAACGGGCACCTGAATAAGATTTCAGGTGGATCCCCTACAGCACACGTGAAGCTTTAAATCAGATGGGTAAAATTTTCTCTCCTAATTTGTTTCTGTGCCACCACGACACACAGAATAATTAGTTAAGGATCATAAAAATCCAATTAATTAATAGTTTTTGTGAAAGAGAAATGCTATTCATTGCCATTGGTGTTAAGTACCAGTCTATGTAACAATTATATTTCATCAAATAATAGATTCATTTAAATACAAAATCATATGACTTATTTAATTGAATTTATAGAGTATTGTTACCTAAACTAGTGATCTAGGATCACTGGTGTTAGATAACATTATTCATTCTGCTATTCTCTTCCTATTTAAAATTTTTTTCCCTCTAGGGAAGATTTCACTGCCTGAAAATTTTGTGGTGAATCGGAATTTCAATCTGTAGAGGGCATGTTTTTATCTTGGCAATGCCTCTTGATAATTGCTGTTTTAGTTTTAATGAGGGTGGAGGGAAGTTTTGTTTTATTAATGTTCTTACTTGATTCTTGAATTTGGGGCATCTGCAGCATTGTACTGTGTTTTGATAAATTATTTGTTAGCATTCACCGTTTCCATCCCCAAACTTACTTGATTCATGAATTTGGGTTATCCTAGATGACATCTTTACTTTTTTCTTTTTGGTAAGAAATGGAGAAAATATGGAGGGCAAGTTTGGTTGTGAATTCTGCTTGTTGACGTTGGAGATCGATTCTGTTGGAGATGTTTGATAATATATCGTATTATTTTGTCAAACAACAATTATTATAAAGCAAGAAAAAAAAATACAGGGATATTAGAATTTTTCTGAAGCAAGATGTTCAGATCAAAGTTTTTAATCCCCTTTTGAGCTTTTGTCATTGAATAATCATTGTTCTATAATAGAAATCAGATTGTCCAAGAGGTATACAATTGGTTTATGCACTAATGAAGATTACATATTCATATCTATTTAATGTTTATGTTATTGAATCTGATGATATAGCAATTACAACCCAAGAGGCATACAACTGGTTTACTCAATAATGAAGATTGGACGTAGGGTCCACTCTTATTCCTTTCTTAAATGAACAGCCACCAGTGAATGATGACGCTGTGTCTTCAATCCACTTAATTCTTTAACAAATTAGATAGCAGCCTCTGGGCTTTGCCTGCCCTTTACAAAATCCTGGTTCGGTCGGGATCTTTCAGTTCAAGAATCAAGTAGAACGATTCGTACTACGTTGCTTTAAAGGAAGCATAACACACCATATTAGCGTTACATTACATTGTTATCACTCAAGAAGAATAAAATCCAAAAGGAAAACAAGATGATGTACCTTCAAATTCTCACAAGAGATGAAAGGGAGAGATTTTGTAATTCCAAAAGGCAGAAGTAATCACCAAAATCATTGGAAGGTTATCTCATCCAATTAGGTTTTGTAGGTCCTTTTCATCCAATTTTAGCTTTGTTTCTCCAGTAGCCATCCAACATTGACTTTCTCATAAAACAGACAACATACAATAAAAAGTATGCATCAATTCAACACAAGAACTCACAACTAGACCAGAAATTGAAGAAAATTTAGATTTTTTAGGTAATCTATCTTTAAAAACATTAAAAAACGGACTTTATACCAAGAAATAAAGAATTAATAATTTTTATCAAGACATCTTCTAAAATAGATAGTATAGACAAAATTGTAGAATTAACTGAAAAAAATTCAAATAATAGAAGAAGACCCTATAAAATATTGAGATAAAAATAAATAGAAACTAAATTAGAAATAAGAAATGAAAATAAAAAAATTAGAAAAGTAGAAATAAAACATATGAATCAAGATATAGAAGATTTTAACATACAGATTAAAGAATTATTAGATTTAAAAGTAATAAGACCATCTAGTAGTCGACACATATTAGCAGCATTTATGGTTAGAAATTATAGTGAAATAAAAAGAAGAAAAGCAAGAATAGTTATAAACTATAAAAAATTAAACGACAATACTTTAGAAGATGGAAATAAGATACCAAATAAAGATATGTTAATAAATAAAATACAAAATAGCAAGATATTTGATTATAAATTTAGATTTTGGCAAATAAAAATGGCAAAAAATTGTATTCTTTGGACAACTTTTACTACTTCATTAGGACAATTTGAATGGTTAGTCATACATTTTGGATTAAAAAATGCACCTTCTATTTTCCAAAAAAAAAAAAAAAAAGGATAGTATAGTCAATTCTGTTCCATTTGTTTGTGTATATATGGATGATATTTTAGTACATAATAAAGACTGTAAAGAACATATGAAACATTTATAAATAACTCTAAATAAGTTTATAGAAAATGGTTTAATTATTAAAAAAAGAAGAAGAAGAAGATAGAAATAAATAAACAAAAAATTGAAATTTTAGGAATAATTTTAGGAGAATGAAAGATTCAGTTACAGCCGCATATAATACATACAATTTTACAATTTTGAAACAAAATTGAAGAAACCAATAAATTACAAGCCTTTTAGGAATATTAAATTATGTTAGACATTTTATTAATGATTTAGGAAGGAAATTAGGACCATTAGTAAATTGTCCAGTAAAGGACAAAAATAGTTAAAAAGATAAAAGTGGAAGTTAAAAATTTATCACCATTAGAATTACTATTAGATAGTGAAAATATAAAATAGAAAAAACAGATGTATGTGAATTAGGATGTGAAGGAATTTTATATTACAAACCAAATAAATATAGTAATAAAAAGGAAGAAAAAATTTGTAGATATGCTAGCAAAAAATACAAGATAAAAGGAAAATATTTAACTAGTTTAGATTTTGAAATAATGGCCATTATACATAGTATGAAAAGCTTTAAATTATTTTTAAACACTGAATTTACAATTACGACAGATTCTGAAACTATAGTAAAATTTATCAAACAGACAAATTTTGATAAGATAAGATAAGACATAAAATATGGTTGAAATTATATGAGATATTAAACATCTATAAAATTAATATAGAATATATTGACAGAAAAAAATATAATATTTTAGCAGATAATTTAAGTAGGCAGGTTATTAATTTTCTAACTCATTATCTTTATGATATAGATGGATCAAAGGATGTTAAACGTTGGGAATGTCATTCTAAGAGTGACCCCTCAAGGATCTAATCTTCGATTTAGAGGAAATAATTTAGAAATACTATCAAAAAGGGAGCGTTGTTTACTGGATAATCTTTGGATGGCACGTGACTCTAAACAAAAATTAGATAGCATTAGTGCTTTACCTAACTATTTTAGACAGATTCATAATCAAGTAGAAAACAAAAATTTTGGTTTCTTCACAATAATTAAAGGTAGAAAGTCTGGTATATATAATTATTTACCAGAAGTACTACAACAAGTAGAAAGATTTCCTGACCCTCTTTTCAAAGGATTTTGTAAGCTTGAAGAAACTTTAAATTTTTGCAGAGAAATGATAGGAATTAATTTTCATATATCCGAAAGAGTTAGACAAGCCATGCAAACCCCCTCTCAAGCTTCATCATCATCTTCATCAATACAACTTTGTGATAGTTGTGAAATTATGACCAAAGTTGCTAGAAATTTAAATCTTAGAAAGCATTCATTTAAAGAAAGGCTACAACTCCTAGAAGATCAAATTTCTTCGTCTTAACAAACTATTAGTAAATATCAAAATGAGATTCTTCAATTGCATGATAATTTAGAAAGACTTAGTTCTAGAGATATACTTGAAAACCCCATTTCTAAAGACATCGCTTCTACAAATAGAAATTATTTTGATGAAATAGAAAGACTTATGGAACTAACAAATTCTATAGCTACAAGACAAGAAAAGACTTTATACCAATTAAAACAGAAAATTTGTGATTGCGCCAGTTTGACGTTCTATAAAGAATTTCGTTATTTTGCTCAAATTTTAAGTTACTATCATAATGAAACATAGATATGTCGTTAGACATGATTCCAAATACAATTCAGCCTAAAATTCAGTCTTTCTTAGACAGAATTATCCAATATTTTCCTTTGATTATACAATCTTTGAAGAAGAAGATTTTTTTTTTTAACCCAGCTTTACAATTTGGTATGATAGATAGTATATACATATTAAATTGATTTTTCCCATTAGAACTTAATCAGATTCTTGATCAGATAAAAGACCATTTCTTAATAATTCAATTTATTTTCATACCCCCTCGTGTAAATAATGGTATTGTAATTCCAGCTTATCATCATATTTTAATTTATAAAGGAACCAAAATATTTAGACTCTCTTCGAGGACAAATATTAAAACAAAAAAATTAGACAAATTGATTATGAAAGAAGAATATCAGAAACTGTAGCCATGATGGAAGTTCAAAATAATGATTTCAAATTAGTAGCACAATGAAACAACGGAGTTATTTTTTGCTAAGAGCATCTTGGCATGAGAATTAAAGCAGAAAAATTCAACTACCAAATGTTGAACAAAATGATTTATATCTGATGGCATTTCAAGAGACTAATGAAGAATTTACAGAAACCCAATCCGATAAAGAAGAGGAAGAATACATATCTGATGGCAACAATAATGAGATGGATCCAGAACTAGAAGAAGCCATAGCAGAAATGACGGACAGATAAGATTAATAATTGAAAAAGACAAAATAGAAAAACAGAGAAATAATTATTAAGGCAAGGAAATAAAAAAGAAGAGGCATAAAGATAAAGCTTCTTGAACAAATTTCAAAAGTTGATTCTCAGATTTTAAGCAAAGTCAAGCATGAAGATAAAGTTGTCAGAAACATCTTTTCAAATAATTTATTCTTTAATTACTCACATGGAGAAT